GCCAGGACACGCAGGGGCGTGGTTCCCATACATGATGTTGTACCTCGTTCCTTTCCTTCAGGGAACAGTAGTTATATGCATAACATTACGTTCTAACGTGGGGTTGATGTATGCGGGGTTGGTGGGAAAGTGTGTGTGTGTCAGCCTTACTCGATTGGAAACCAATCACCACACAGTACTTTGACACTCTCTATGTCATCGTGACAAAGGAAGCGGAGCTGGACTTCACTGAGAGCTGTGGGGGGCACCACGTCACTCATTCACCCCTGCAGAAACAGAAACCAGAGGTTCAGTCAGTCTGAAGTCATCACGCTGCCCCGTGTTACGCAAGGAGCAAAAACTGGCAGGTTGACGTCAAAGAATCAAACGCTCAGGGAGGGCATCAGCAATATAAAACTTACAAAAGGTTTTTAAATAAGTGCATCCAATGGGCGTGTAACTAAACCCAAATTACAAAAACAAAGTCATTGATCAAACCTGCRAAACTGTCCATTTTTATCAACTAGAAAAAAGTCTAAATATGATTAAACCTCTTGTCAACAACAATGCAAGTTTGGTGTTTCAGACACAAGAACGTGACTTTATCTGTCATAGCAGGTTGTAAAAACATTTTAAACTTAACAAGTCATAGGTAAATGTAACCTTTTCGTTTATTTCAGGTTTTGAAGTAAACTTGTAGATTTAGCTGCTGTGTTTGGGTTCATTAATTCTCCTGTTGCATGAACAAGTTTCAGCCAAGCATCAGGTAGATGACCTCACGATTTATTATAAATATTTGTTCTATATTTATTGAAAGACCAAGTGATTTTTAGTTGTCCTGATGGACAGAACCGGAGACTGTAAACAACCTGTTCTTACAGTATGCAAATAAATGCCCCGTTCACAGTCGAGTACAGGCTTAGGAAATACACACAATGAATTTTCTTTTTCCTTTATATCACCAAAGGAAAAAAAAAGTAAGCATCGTTTGCGTAAGTTTAACAGGGCAGTCATGATTTTATTATCAGCAAGTTATAGATACTGGTACAGGAAGCCTCGCAGTGATGCAAGGAAGACGGAAGGCTTTACTTTACTTTAAAAAATAATTACGAGACTGTAATGACACGTATAAACTGGAAATACAGTTATTAACTCGAACTGTGTGTGTTTTTACAAACTCTTATTTGCTGCTTGCGTTATTAGCACCCGTGCTAACCTTTAGCTAACGCTCGGTTGCTAAGCTAACGTACCTGCTTTCAACACTCGGACTGGAAGAAAGTGGAACACAACTTCAATCCTGTGCTATCAGTCAGTACTGTCGCTACTCCGGACACAACATCGTAAAGCACCGGCTTGTTCCCGACTCTCAAAGCCGTTTCATGACTGTGTCATGTTAGCACAAGCTCTACTCTTCTGGCTTTGACACCAGCTGGATGTTTTCTTCCTGTTTGTAGCCGCACTATCACGAATGACGTCATCCGGAAGACTTCTTCTTCGTGTGTTCATTAGACTTTTGGCAACAAATAAGTTGTTGCTTTACTGCAACACACTGGACTGGTGTGTCACCTCTGAGGTTTTTACTTGGAAAAAAAGTCTGTGCAGTTTCGTAGGATTTTTATGTAACATGTTTGGTCAAAAATTCCATTTTATATTTACAGTGATTGTTTTACAACAGCAATAAAAGCACAATAAATACAAAGACGTGATATTTTTACACTGTAGTACAGTATACAACAATACCATAATAAAATTATTTAATCATCCAAAACATTTGCCATAAGACTGACATAAGGATCAGAATGTAAATTTTTATTTACACATATTTTTACTCAAATGTCTGCTACCAACTAAAAATGAGTCTGTGACCCTCAAGTTGAAAATCATAATAAAAAAATTGTATAGGTCTTCTGGACGGGTTCTTCTCTAATGAAACGTTTCGTCTCTCCTCCAAGAGACT